CACACGTGTGTGCACACACACATGCATACACACACACACATTTGACTTGAAGACTGGGAAGGCACCTTTGGTACCATTTAGTACAACGCTCCCACACTACGGATAAGAAAACAGAGGCTCTGAGTGGTGAAGGGACTTTCCCGGATTACACAGCAGTAATTCTGTAAGTAGAATCTGAGCCTGGAATGAGGATGATCATGCATCTTCCTGCTTAGATGAGGATCACTCTCTCCTTTCTGCCCAGCAGTGAGTGACTTCAGCTGCTCTCCTCAAGGCTATTTTTGGAATCCTTTTTCAAATTTCTTCCAGAGCTATTGGTCTGTTCAGGTATTAAACTTCATGTGTCACTTCTGCAAATTTTGGTTTTCTGACAATATCGTTCACTTTAATCATGATGTTAAAGCTCATTAGCAGGAATCAAATTCCTATATAGTTTGTACAATGACCTCTGTAATTTTAAGCGCTTCTTTTTAATGTAACACGTTTTCTTTTAAAATACAGATCCATATTTGTATTAAATTTTTTTTCTTTACTTTTTTTTTTTTCTGATATGGAGTTTCACTGGCTGGAGTGCAATGGCAATCTTGGCTCACTGCAACCTCTACCTCCCGGGTTCAAGCTATCCTCCTGCCTCAGCCTCCCAAGTAGCTGGGATTACAGGCACACACCACCATAGCTGGCTAATTTTGTACTTTTAGTAGAGACGGGGTTTTACCATGTTGATCAGGCTGCTCTCAAACTCCTGACCTTAGATGATCCACCCACCTCGGCCTCCCAAAGTGCTGGGATTACAGGCGTGAGCCACCGTTCCCAGCCTGAATTAAACATTTGATACCACTTCATAGTTCTTTAAATATTTTTTGACAGTTACATTAAGTTTAATAACTGTGATAACAGCGGTATTTTTGGACAGTGGCTTTAAGTTTTGTTTATTTTATTGCTCACTGTTTTGTTTCGTACTCTACCATTACTATTTATAAGTCCTTTGTTTTGGTTCATTTCTTGCTCAGCTCAAATATTTCGAGTAATTTCAGGACAGGTGTGTGGGTGAGGAACTTTCTGAGACTTTTTATATGTCATATGTCATGCATTCTGGCTCACAAATTACAGCTTTGCCAATTATGGAACTGGCATAATTTGTTTTTTTTAAATAAACTAAAAAGTATGTGTCTGTATATATGTATATTTTTACTTAATAGAAAATGCTATAATGTGGATTTTTTGTTGAAGACCCAAACTCCAAAGTAGTTCCTACTTCTGCTACTGGCACTCCCATTTTCTAATTCAAGCTTAAAATCTAGTTATTATCTTTTGATTCTTTCTTCTTCAAATCCACATCCAATCATCTCATGTGCCTTCATTTTTTTTGAGAGAGAAAAAAAAAAGAAAGAAAGAAAAAAAGTAAAAAAAAAAAATGAAAGAGAAGAAGAAAGAGGAAGAGAAAGAGGGAGAGAGAATGGGAGTGTTGCTTTAATTCATAATTCATACTGGCATAATTCATAATTTTTCACCCTCAGAATATTCACAGAAACCCAAGATAATCAACTGAAAAATGGCTATACCCAACAACAGAGTTAGGTAAAGTGGCTGGGCACAAATTAATATAGAAATCAATATTATCTAACTACACATATAAAAAGTTATGTTGGGGAAACAAGATTCCACCCCTAACAGCAACAAAAAGATTACAAAAGTTTTTTTAAAAACTCTTAAAATATGCAAGATTTTATAAAGAAAATATTTGAGAGACACAAAAAAAGCAAAAGTAAATGGAAATGCATATTCTGTTGTTAGGAAGATTCAACATCATAAAGAATTAATTCAAAAAGGATCAAAGGTCTAAATATAAAGTGCTAAAATCATAACACTTTTAGAAGAAAACTGGGGGGATGCTTCATTGCATTGGATTTGTTAAAGATTTCTTGGATATAATCCCAAAAGTATAGGCAACAAAAGAAAAAACATTTAAATATCAAAATTTAAAACTCTGTGCATCAAAGGGTACAATCAACAGTAAAAAGGCAAGACACAGAATGGAAGAAAATATTTGCAAATTATGTATCTGATTAAGGGCTAACATCCTGAATATATAAAGAATTCCTATTTAACTCAACAACAAAAACAAACCACCCAATTTGTTAATACTCCGTAAGTTTCAGCATGGAGGATAAGAAGGAAGGAGGGAAGGAAGGAGGGTGGGATGGTAGGAGAGAAGAAGGGAGGGAGGAAAGAAGAAAAGGAGGAAGGTGATGATTGAGTGGCTGATCTGTGTCAGGTAGTACGTTGTGCACTTTCACTTTATTCCTTAGTTTGGTCATCACAATTACCCTGTGACATTATGATAATCATTCACATTTCCTGCAGCTCAGGGAGGGTAAGTCATTTATTCACTCGAGTTCCTATGGTCACAATTCCTGAGTCTGAAGTCGGTCCAAAGTTGGCGTAACTCTCCAAGCCCATGTTCTTTCCTATGTCGTGTTCGTAGGAAGTCATTTCTACTGTTTTCTAGACACATAAAGGGCTGAGTGTACTGTTTCGTCTTAGTGTTGTAATTTGAGGCTTCCAGGGAAGATGTCTTGCGTAAAAATTGCCTGAGTTTCCACTGTTAGTGATTCATTCTCCTTGGGTTTGGGCTGTTCACTTCCCTGTCCTAGCTTAGTTTTCAAGATGTAAGATTCTTGGAGGATGATTTGGCCACCAGACGAGTCTATTACAGCAATGATGGTAGCCAGTGGGCAGGAGGAGGACTCTGGGCCCAGGAGAGGGAGGAAATGGGAAAAGGCAGGTGGACATGGTGTGGAGGTGCAGGGAGGGCAGAAGATTAAGTAAAGGTGTATGAAAAGAAAGAACCACTGAAGAAGCAGAGACAAGACTGCCCACTCCCCACCTGTGCTCAAGCCCTTCTTTACCAAGGAAGGGGCACAGGAATGCTCAGGAAGACCACAGCTGTGGTCAATGCCAAGAAGAAATGGGATGAGGATGAAGGAGGGGAAGGAGAAAGATGCTAATGTGTACACAGCACTGACATTGGGCCAGATAATGTGCTTAGGGCTTGAAGAACATGATCTCATTTATTTTGAGCTGCTCTAGAACACTCTGAACTTGGAAAGATGAGGAAGTTCTGCTGCTATTGGCTAAAAGACTTCGCCAAGGACACATGGATAGTGCAGAGAGAATTTGAACTAAGGTCTATCTGGTGCACTCTACCCAGGTAGAGTACTGAAAAGACAACAGGATGTATAATGTCACCTTTGTATATTATAATTTTAATAATAGCAGCCAATAGAAATCAAAAGCTTACGATGTGAAAGGCACCGTTGTAGGTGTTTTCTATGAAGTCATTAAATCCATGTGAGGTAGACACTCCTTACCCCCATTTTACAGATGAGGAGACTGAGGTACAGAGCGTTCTCTCAGCTGGTAAATGAAGTATGCGCCAGGCAATTCAGCTTCTCCATGCAAGTAAGAGCAGCTATAATGGAGCCAGGGATGGGCAAACTGAAATTACTGCCAAGATGGGGAACCAGAGGAAGACCATAACAATAAACCAAGGCATAAACTCCAGGCAGCAACCGAATTCTTTGGGTGCCTGGGCTAAACCGTGGGCACTCACGCTGGAGACTGTTTAATCCTGCCACCTTTGAACTTGGAGCCCTTAATTGTCAGCAAATGCTCACAGGAGAATAAAGCAGCAAATGAATGTAAATGTAAAAACTCAAGAAGGGCCAATTGCACATATATTGGCAGCTTTCTGGTTTTTCTGGATGTGAAAAAATATTGCCATTGTGACAAATTGTATTCGTTGCAGGCTTCTCACTTTTCTTTAAAGACAAGGTCTTGCTCTGCTTCCCAGGCTGGAGTGCACTGGTGTGACCAGAGCTCACTGCAGCCTTGACCTCCTAGGCTCATGTGATCCTCCTGCCTCAGCCTTTCAAATAGCTGGAACCACAGGCACATGCCATAATGCCTGGCTAATTTTTAATTTGTTTTTATAGACATAGGATTTCACCATGTTGCCAGGCTGATCTTGAGCTCCTGAGCTCAAGCAATCTGCTGGCCTCAGCATCCCAAAATGCTGGGATTACAGGCGTGAGCCACCTGTAATCCCTGCAGGTGTGAGCCACCTGCAGCCTGACACAGACTGCTCACTTCCTACAGATAGAATCATTTCTAGTTTGTAAGACAGAGATGAATATTTCATAGCTTTGGGCGAGGAAGACTTTTCTCCTTCCAGAGCACTGTGACTTCTAGCTGCTTTACTATCAGAATAAGTTTGGGATAAGCTGGTCCAATCCATTGTCTTTTCCCTTGCACATATTTTCTTCTCTTCCAGAGTAATAAACCATTTACCACGCTGTCTTCTCTCTATTAATCCAGCAGCAGGTAATTGTTCTCAGACATGGGCACACCCATCTTTTCTGGTCTCCTTTTTACTCTCTTTTAAACTCTTTCCCAGTTATGCAAGAAAAATATCTCACCTTCTCCCCCTCCATCCCATTCATGAATATGCTTTCGAGCGAAACCTCTCTAGCAAGAAAACAAATACTCATCAGGGTTTGTGAACAGAACTGAAATTAGACGCTCCTCCCAATACTTGGCCAGGTGTGGTTTTTACAACTTTTTATGAAACAAACACTGATTTCAAGAGTCCCGTTTAGCCCAGTCTAGAACACTCTAGAACTCTAGGGGACCATTTACTATGACATTAGGGCATCAGGCACATCTCCCAACTTCTCACCAAATATACCAGATAGATAGAGGAAAAAATGAACACACATGCATACAATCCAAACAGAAACCAACACTGACAGGCCAGAATCAGGGACTGACATTATGTCTAAGTCAGATGGAAATGGATTAAGAAAATCCAGGCTGAAGCTCGGGCCAAAAATCTCTACAATAAGTGGGTACAGCTTGCATCATGGCTGAGTACAGTCCCCAAGTGGGTGTGCACTTTTTCCTTGGATACTTCATCCCTTTTATCTTTTCCTTTAATGCAGACTGATGCATCACATTCACTGAGATGGAGAAGTTTGTGGAGAGGATAATTTGGGAGTGGAAAACAAGAGTCCTTCTTTGTCTGAGTTCTATCCCCATCTGACCCCAGTGGAGAGGTCTGGGCTACAGCTCTCTATTTGGGAGTTCACGTGGTACCATGGTCACTGAGGCTATGAACCATGTGAAGAGAGAAGCGTGGGGAGAACACCTCCAGTGTTAAGAGGTGGAAGAATCACCAAAGGAACACTGAGAAGATGCAGCTCATGAACAGGAAGAGAACACGATGTCCCAGGATCCAAAACAAGCGTGTTTCAAGGAGGGAATGGGGAATACTGTTGCAAGATCTACAACATGAGGGCAGAGAAGTGGCCACTGAATCTGGTGATGTGGAGAGTTTGGGTGACCATGAAGGAAAAAGTGCAGGGAGAAGACCAAACGGAATGGGCTGAAGAGAGAGAAGAAGTGACAGAGAGGCAACTCCTTTGGGAAACTTTGCTCAGAAGACTTGGGTTTATGAGATGCCCCAGAATCCTTCTGTTAAGTTCCTTTTTGTTTTTCTTTACCTAGCACAAGTTCATTCACTGTCATAGTGACCAAAAGAACCCTAAGGGGCTTCCAGTTTGAAAAAAAAAAAAGTCTCAATCTATGTCAAAAGAAAAACTCCCTGTATTAGTCAATTTTCCTGCTGCTGCTAAAGACATACTTGAGACTGGTGCGGAGAAAAGAGGTTTAATTGGACTTGCAGTTCCACATGGCTGGGGAGGCCTCAGAATCACGGCAGAAGGCAGAAGGCATGTCTTACAAGGCAGTGGCCAGAGAAAAATGAGGAAGATGCAAAAGCAAAAACCCAATAGAACCATCAGTTCTTGTGAGACTTACTATCTTGAGAACAGTATGGGGGAAACCACCCCATGATTCAAATTGTGTCCCACCAGGTCTCCCCACCACAACATGGGAATTATGGGAGTACAATTCAGGATGAGATTTGGGTGGAGACACAGAGCCAAACCATACCATTCTGCTCTGACCCCTCCAAATCTCATGTCCTCACGTTTTGAAACCAAACATGCCTTCCCAACAGTCCCCCAAAGTCTTAACTCATTTCAGATTTTATTCAAAAGTCCACACTTCAAAGTCTTATCTGAGACAAGGCAAGTCCCTTCCACCTATGAGCCAGTAAAATCAAAAGCAAGTCAGTTACTTACTAGATACAATGAGGGTACAGTCATTGGGTAAATACAGCGATTCCAAATGGGGGAAATTGGCCAAAACAAAGAGGCTACAGGTCCCGTGCAAGTCCAAAATCCAGCAGGGCAGTCAAATCTTAAAGCTCCAAAATGATCCTCTTTGATACCATGCCTCACAACTGGGTCACACTGATGCAAGAGGTAGGCTCCCATGGTCTTGGGCAGCTCTGCCCCTGTGGCTTTGCAGGGTACAGACTCCCTCCCAGCTGCTTTCATGGGATGGTGTTGAGTGTCTACAGCTTTTCCAGGCACACAGGGCAAACTGTTGGTGGATCTACCATTCTGGGGTCTGGAGGACACTGGCCCTCTTCTCACAGGTCCACCAGGCAGTGCCCCTGCAGGGACTCTGTTTGGGGACTCCAACCCCACATTTCCCTTCTGCACTGCCCTAGCAGAGGTTCCCCATGAGAACCCTGCCCCTGCAGCAAACTTCTGCCTGAGCATCCAGGATTTCCATACATCTTCTGAAATCTAGGCGGACATTCCCAAACTGACAAACGGGTACAAAGAATCTCTCTTTATTATTTCATAGAACTACATATGAATCTACAATTTATCTCAATATTTAACAGTCTAATTAAGAAAGCAAAATTAAAAGCCTTGTACAAATAAGTTTAAAATGTTAAAAGATAAGCTTTAAAACTACCTAGAATAACCACTGCCAACATTGTGATCTTTATCCTTCTAAAAACTTTATTTTTTGAAATCCCACAGATCATATTCAGATATATTTATCTCATAAAAGAGGTGCTATTTGAGAGTCCACTCCAAAGAAGGGGTATTTTCACCATCAGATGTGAAGGAATAATTGGCACTGGACTAAGCCTCTCTCCATGAACAATTGTAAGACGAGCCAAAAGAGTTGAAGCAACTGTTTGTATACACTGGACAACAGGCAAGCACAGGTCTGTAATCCCTCAGAGAAGGTAAATATACAAGATGAGCCTCTTGATTTTCCTGGCTTTCTGCTGGAAGGCCCTTCCACAGTTTAAAGCATAGAGGTAGAATCCAAGCAGAGTAAAGAGGGCTTTCTGAGTTGAGGAGCCAGAAATTGGGGTTTGGGGTCTAGAAATGGCTGGAATATGTGGGGCAAGAAACTGGAAAAGAGGGAAATGTGAAAAAGAAGAGGTCAAGAAGACCTTAGCTGAATACTAAGCTGTGCATGCAGGGTAAGACCTTGTGAAGCCTGGCAGAAACAGCTACTGGAAAGCCTGGAGTTAAGCAGAGGTTCTAGAAGTTGCACAATGCTGGGAGACATTGAATTTCCAATCAGCCAGGGTGGAGGAACATCACTGAATACCTCAGGCATTCAACTGAGATCCTAGAAAGGCAATGCTTGTCATCTAGACATCCATTAAGTTTTAAGAAACACGAAGGGATCCTGCTTATCTCCTATAAATTAAGTGCCTGCCAGAATACAATTCTTTAAAGAAAAACATGAAAATCCAGACTCTCAACAATGTGGCATCCATAATGCCTAGAATACATTTAAAAATTACTAGACAGAGGCTGGGCGCAGTGGCTCACACCTGTAATCCCAGCGCTTTGGGAGACAGAGGTGGGTGGATCACGAGGTCAAGAGATTGAGACCATCCTGGCCAATATGGTGAAACCCCATCTCTACTAAAAAACACAAAAATTAACTGGGCATGGTGGCACATGCCTGTAGTCCCAGCTACTCAGGAAGCTGAGGCATGAGGATTGCTTGAACCCAGGAGGCGGAGATTGCAGTGAGCTGAGATTGCACCACTGCACTCCAGCCTGGCACCTGGTGACAGAACAAGACTCTGTCTCAAAAAAAAAATTACTAGACAGATGAAGAAGAAGAAAAATGCAGTTCATTACTAGGGATGTAATTCAATAAAATAAACTCAAAGACAGTATGTATGTTGAAATTAGGAGGCAAAGACTTTAAAACATCTATTATAAATATGTTCAAAGATTTCAAGGAAAAATGGAGAGAGCAAGTTAAATCTCAGTAGGGACCTGGAAACTTCTTTTTTTCTTGAGATGGAGTCTCACTGTGCTGCCCAGGCTGGAGTGCAGTGGCATGATCTCGACTCACTAAACTCTTCGCATCCCAGGTTCAAGCAATTCTCCTGCCTCAGCCTCCCAATTAGCTGGCATTACAGGCATACACCACCATGCCCGGCTAATTTTTATGTTTTTAGTCATGACAGGGTATCACCATGTGGGCTAGTCTGGTCTTGAACTCCTGACCTCAGATGATCTGCCCGCCTCGGTCTCCCAAAGTGCTGGGATTATAGGTGTGAACCACTGCACCCAGCCTGGGAGCTATTTTTAAAAGAACCAAGTGGAAATCTATTTCCAAATGGAAACACAACCTCTGAAAAGAAAAATTAATTGGATGGACTGAATAAAAGATCTGACACTGCAAAACTAAGATCAGTGAAACTAAAGCTATAGAAACCATTCAAACTAAAACACAAAAAATAAACAAGATTTCAAAATATGAACAGAGTCTCAATGACCTCTGGGCACAATCAAAAGTTCTGATAGATATGTAAATAATGTCTCAAAAAGAGAGAAGAAAGAAAATGAGGGCAGAAAAAATATTTTAAGAAATAATGGCCAAAATGTTCCCAAGTTTAATAAAAAATATCAACCCATAGATCTGGGAAAAACCCAAGAAGGATACGTGCAAAGAAAACCACCAGCCTGCCCAGCATGGTGAAACCCCATCTCTACTAAAAATACAAAAAATTAGCCAGACGTGATGGTGGGCGCCTGTAATCCCAGCTACTCAGGAGGCTGAGGCAGGAGAATCGCTTGAACTTGGGAGGTGGAGGTTGCAATGAGCCAAGATCGCACCACTGCACTCAAGGCTGGTCAACAAGAGCGAAACTCTGTCAAAAAAAAAAAAAAAAAGGAAAAGGAAAAAAAAACCCACACGTAGGGACATCATAGTTAATTGCTGAAAATCAAAGATAAAGAGAAAATCTCAAAAAGCAGCCAGAAAAAAAAAGACACATTGTATGTAGAAAACAACAATTAGAAAACCTACTGACTTCTTAGAAACAATGCAAGTTAGGATACAGTGATATCATCTTTATAGGGCTTTAAAAACAAAACAAGCTGGCACAGTGGCTCACTCCTGTAATCCCAGCACTTTGAGAGGCCGAGGCGGGTGGATCACAAGGTCAGGAATTTGGGACCAGCCTGGCCAACACGGTGAAACCCTGTCTCTACTAAAAATACAATCCCAGCTATTCGGGAGGCTAAGGCAGGAGAATCGCTTGAACCTGGGAGGCAGAGGTTGCAGTAAGCAGAGATAACCCCACTGTCCTCCAGCCTGGGGCACAGAGCAAGACTCCATCTCAAAAAAACTGAACCAAAACAAAACAAAAAGGGACTTTCAACCTAAAATTCTATCTCCAGTGAAAATATTCTTCAAACACGAAAATTAGAAAACTTAATGGTGTGACTGAAATGTTTTATATATTGTTAGATCTGTGGGTGACATGGGTGTATACATTTGTCAAAATCATACAGTTAAATTTTTTAAATTTTGGCCGGACACGGTGGCTCACGCCTGTAATCCCAGCACTTTGGGAGGCCAAGGCAGGTGGATCACCTGAGGTTGGGTGTTTAAGATCAGCCTGACCAACGTGGAGAAATCCCGTCTCTTACTAAAAATACAAAATTAGCCAGGGGTGGTGGTGTATGCCTGTAATCCCAGCTACCTAGGAGGCTGAGACAGGAGAATTGCTTGAACTCAGGAGGCAGAGGTTGCGGTGAGGAGATCACGCCATTATTGCACTCCAGCCTGGGCAACGAGAGCAAAACTCTGTCTCAAAAAAAAAAAATTACATTTTATAGTTTGCAAATTTTTCATGAAAAGAACTATAAAAATAATCAAAGGGAAGTGAAGAAAGTTATAGGTAAAACATTATTTTTAAATAATGAAGATAAAGACATTCGAAGGCAAAAAGATGTTGAAAAGATGGTTACCAGCAGATGTGTATTACTAAAAATATTTTGAAATAGAGTCTTGCTCTGTTGCCCAGGCTGGAGTGCAGTGGTATGATCTCAGCTCATTGATACCTGTACCTCCTGGGTTCAAGTGATTCTCCTGCCTCAGCCTCCCAAACAGCTGAGACTACAGGCACGTGCCATCACACTTGGCTAATTTTTGTATTTTTAGTAGAGACGAGGTTTCCCCATATTGGTCAGTCTGGTTAAAAATGTTTTTTAAATAGCTATTCTATCAGACCTTTAAGAAAGAAATAATATCAATCTTACTCAAATTCTTTCATAAAATAGAGGAGGAGGAAACACTTCCCAATTCATTGATGAAACCAGCATAATCCTGATGTCAAAATTAGATAATAACGTGACAAAGAAAGAATAAAACAGATCAATATATCCCATTTTACATTTCAAGATGCAAAAATTCTGAACAAAATAATTAAAAATGAAGTCTAGATATATACAAATATAATTCTTTCTAAAATAAGTAAAAATATTTAAAAAGACCAAATGGGACTTATCCACTTGGAATGCTATACTTGGAAAGTTGTTTTAATGTGCAAAAATTAATGTAGTTCACCACATTAATAAAAAAGAGGGGAAAAAAATCACATAACCACATACAAAAAACATTTGAAGAAACTCAACCCTTGTTTATAAGAACTCTCGGTAAGAGGGAACTCCTCAAACTGATAAAAGCATCTATGAAAAATCTGTAGTTAACATCATACTTAAACGTGAAAACTGAACGAACACTTTTCACCTACTATTGGGAACAAAGCAAGGACATCTGTTGTCACCACTTCCATTCAACATTGTACTGGAGGTCACAGCCTGCCATAAGGCAAAGCAAAAACACATACACATAAGGCAGGAAGAAGCAATGCTTTCTTTATTCTCAGATGACATGACTGTATATGTAGAAAATCCTAAAGAATCTATTAAAAACGACCATAAGTGAATTTATCAAGGTTACAGAATACAAAGTCAGTATTTAAAAATCAATTGTACTTTTTTTTTTTCTTTTGAGATGGAATCTCGCTCTGTGGCCCAGGCTGGAATGCAATGGCATGGTCTTAGCTCACTGCAACCTCCGCCTCCTGGGTTCAAGCGATTCTCCTGCCTCAGCCTCTCAAGTAGCTGGGACTACAGGCGCATGCCACCATGCCCAGCAAATTTTTTGTATTTTTAGTAGAGATGGGGTTTTACCATGTCAGCCAGGATGGTCTCGAACTCCTGACCTCACGATCTGCCCACCTCGGCCTCCCAAAGTGCTGGGATTACAGGCATGAGTCAATTGTACTTCTATATGTTAATAACTACCAATTAGAAAGTGAAGTTTTTAGAAACACCATTTATAACAGCATCAAAAAACCAAAATTCTAAGGGATAAATTTACCAAAGAATGTCCAAAATCCCCATGTACAAGACATTGCTAAGATTAAATTACATTAAAACTACAAGACATTGCTAAGATAGATCAAAGAATAAGTGGAGAGAGATAGGCCATATTTATGAGTCAGAAGACTCAATATGGATAATATGTCAGTTTTCCTCCAAGTTGATATATGGATTCAATGCGGTCATAGTCAATAGCTCAGCAAACTTTTAAAAGTAGAAATGGATAAACATTTTAAAATGTATGTGGAAATACCAAAGACTTAAAATAGCTAACGCAGTTTGGGAAAAGGATGGCTGGACGACTCATTCTATCTCACGTCAAGATTTGCTCCAAAGCTACAGTAATCAAGACAATCGGTACTGACGCCTGAAGCACAAGTGGCTCAGTGTATCAACGCAAAAGTCATATCATGGGTTTCTGTTTAACATAAGTAGAACCACAGCACACATGTTGTTCTATGCACAGTTGTCTCTGAGAAAGCATATCTGATTACACCATTCTCTCCCAGCCCTCCAAAACCTTTCCTACGGGTTTTTACTGCTTTCAGTCAAAGCTCAAGCCCCTAACATGGGTCACTAGACCCCAAGAGGTGAGTGCCCTTCTTCCTTGGCCAGTCTCATACCTTTACCTTTCCCTTCCATGATAAACTTCTTCCTGCATATGCTGCCTCTGTCTGAAACATTTCCCCACCTTTTCCTGCTTCTAATGTGGATGCTAATATGCGTTCTTCTGTCTTCCATTTCTAGGTCACTTCTTCAGGGAAGACTTTCTGACCCTCGGGCTAGGCTGGATGCTCACCCACACCCTTTCAGCTCCCAGAGCCTCTCTGCTTCCACTGTGCCTGCATTATTACTATGCCTATTCCCTCGACTGGGCTTTCAGCTCTGACGTCAGTTTCCCCATCTACCATAATGGTTCTAACCCCAGTGCCTGGCACAGGGTCTAGGTACATTCTCCCTGGAAAGTTTCACGAGTGAGCAAACCAAAGCCCTACCCAAATATGTGCCCATGATGTTATGACCGTATGAGCAATAGGGGATATTCCTCAGGCTTCAAGGGGAAATCACGTCTATTGCAAGGTCGCAGTGAGTCAACCCTCGGAGGTGTTGAATGAGTCGTTTCTGGCCACCCACAGTGTGGGCAGGTTGCCCAGCAGACCTGCTTCCTTCCGTGTTTCCTCTGCCAGAGGCCAAAGGAAGACATGCAGGTCAGAACCCAGGCTTCCTGGGAGCTGTTCCTAAGACCTCAGAATACAAATGCAGGAGAATTGATATTTCTATTAATTTATTTATTTCTGTACATTATGCCCTCCCCTCATGCTATCCCCATGCTAACCCAGAAGGCAACCACCTTGAGGAAGGTTTGTGGTAGGAAAATGAACAGCTTGGAGCTCCTGGACAGCTCCTGGCAGGATGGGGCTCAGCATTGGAGTTCAATCAATTTTAGAAACAAGTGGTTATTTCTTTTTCTTTTATAGACTTTAATTCTTAAAGGAGTTTTATGTTTATAGAAATATTAAACAGAAAGTACAGAGAGTTCCTACAAACTCCCTCTCCTCCCCCTCCCACCCACGGTTTCCTCTATTATTAATATCTTCCATTAGTGTAGAACATTCGTTACAACTGATAATATTGATACAACAGTATTAACTGAAGTCCACAGTATGCGCTCTTTGTGTTGTACAATTCTATGGGTTTCTCCAGATATATAATGTCAATACACGTTACAGTGTCACAGAATATTTCCACTGCTCAAAAAAATCCCCTATACTCCATGTATTCATCCTACTCCAGGCAACATCTGGCAGCCCTCTTTTCTAGGCAAATTATTCATGCTCTATAATTCCATCACATAGCTGGTATTATACAGCATGTAGTTTTTTTCAGATTGGCATCTTTCATTTAGCAATATGCATGTACTCAAGGTTCTACCATGTTTTTTCATGACTTGATAGCTTATTTCTTTTTCCAACTAAATAATATTCCATTGTATGGATGTGCCTTTATAGTAAGTCTTATAAATAAGTCTTGTTAGTAAGTCTTAGTAAATTAGTAACGTCAGCCTTCTGCCTTTGCTCTTCTTCAAGATTGTGTTGTCTATTCGAGGTCTTTTTCTTTTCATGTAAGTGTTAGAATAAGTTTGTCAATATTCAAAAAGTAATTTATTGGCGTCTTGATTGAGATTGTATCATGTCTATAAAGCTGGGAGAACTAACGCCTTAACAATAGTGAGTCTTCCTATCCATGAACATGGAATACCTCGCCATTTGTTTAGATTTTTGTAGATTTTTTCATCACTTTTGTTTTCTCATATAAATTTTGTACATATTGTGTTAGACTCATACTTCATTATTTCATTTTTTGGTGCTAATGTAAATGGTATTGTATTTTTAATTTCAAATTCCAATTGTTCACAGCTGGTATATAGGCAAGCACTTGACTTTTGTGTATTAATCTTGCATTCTGCAACCTTACTATAATTGCTTAGTTCTAGGAATGTTGTTTTTTGTCATGGTTGAGTCTTTGGGATTTTATACATAAACAATCATGTTATTGATGAACAAAAACTTCCTTCCTAATCTGTATACTTCTCATGTCCTTGTGTTACATTTTTGCGTTAGGTAGGACTTCCAGTATGATGTTAAATATGAGTGGTCAGTGAAGACATCTTTGCATTGGTCCCAGTCTTAATGGGAAAGCATCTAGTTTCTCATCATAATGTTAGCTATAAGTTTTTTGTATACGTATTTTATCAAGTTGAAGAAGTTCCTATTTCTAGTGTGCTGAGAATTTTTATCATAAATGAGTATTGGATCTTGTCAAATGTTTCTTCTGTGTCTATTTTTATGATTTTTCTTCTTCAGCCTATTGATAGAGTGGACTACATTAACTGGCTTTCAAATATTGAATCAGCCTTTCATATCCAGAATAAATCCCTCTTGGTTGTGATCTATAATTCTTTTCATATATTGTTGGATTCAATTTGCTAATGTTTTGTTGAGGATTTTCACATCTATATTCATGAAATATATTGATCTGTAGTTTTCCTTTCTTGTACTATTTTTGTCTGGTTTTGGTATTAGGTAATGCTGGCTTCATAGAATGAGTTAGAAAGCATTTCCTCTTTTTCTGTTTTCTGGAATGAACTGTAGAGAGTTGCCACCGTTTTTTCTTTTCTTTCCTTTTTTTCTTTTCTTTCTTTTTTTTTTTTTGAGATAGAGTTTCACTCTTCTTGCCCAGGATGGAGTGCAATGGCACGATCTTGGCTCACTGCAACTTCTGCCTCCAAGGTTCAATTCTCCTGCCTCAGCCTCCCAAGTAGGTGGGATTACAAGTGCCTGCTACCACCCCAGCTAATTTTTTGTATTCTTAGTAGAGATGGGGTTTCACCATGTTGGTCAGGCTGGTCTTGAACTCCTGACCTCAGCTGATCCGCCCACCTCAACCTCCCAAAGTGCTGGGATTACAGGCATGAGCCACTGCGCCCAGCCATTTTTTTCTTTAAATGTTTGGTAGAATTCACCAGTGAAACCATCTGGGCCTGAGATTTTTGTTTTGAAAGATTATTAATGATTGATTCAATTTATTTAATAGATATAGGCCTACTCAGATAATCCATTTCTATTTGTATGAGTTTTAATAGAAATAAAAAATTACTCCATCTAAGTTATCAAATTGGTGGGGATAGAGTTGTTCATGATATTGCTTTATTATCTTTTCAATGTCCATGGGTTTAGTAGTGATTTTTACTTTTTTCTTGAGCTATAACTCATGTAACGTAGAACTCAACATGTTAAAGTATACACTTCGGTGGTTTTTTAGTATACTCACTAAGTATGTGACCATCACAACCACCTAATTCGAGAACATTTTCATCACTCCTAAAAGAAACTCTATACCTATTAGCAATCACTCTCTATTCTCCCTCCCCTTATCCTCTGGCAACCTCTCATCTACCTTTCGTCTTTATGGGTCATAGTATGTAACAATACTTACTCCTTTTTATGACCGAGTAAATTTTACTGTGTGGACATACCAAGTATTTTTCAAACACACTTGAAGCATTTCAAGTATGTATTTGAAATTTTGTTTCTCAAATATTTGAATTTATGGACCAAGACTCCTATTGGATACCTGGGGGCTGCCTGTTCAGAGCAAAAGAAAAAGATGAGAGACAGTATTCAGGTATGACCCAAGTTTACCCTTCGACATGAGGGACAGTAAGAAATGAACATAGCCTGGAGCTTCCTCTTTAATAAGCGAGAATCCTGCTTGCGTCTCATGCGCTTACCTAAGCTGATGCCACTGCTACCAGCTACTACCCACAGTGGAGTTCCTACTACCTGTCAGCGGCTGGAAGAGGCAGGCACTTTCATGTGGGACAGTCCTTCCAGGTGGTCATTCTTCATCTCTGTTTCACACATAAGGAAACTATGGCTCTGGGAGATAACGTCACTTTCTCAGGGTCTGCAGCAAGTGGGAGCAATGATGCTAGCTCAGCCCTGCCGAGCACCAAAGCCCTCCCCAGCTGTCAGGTTAACACCTAGAAATTCGCTACCTAATTGCTCCAGCAGTCGGAATTCCTAAACTTTTTTGCATTATGGGACAACTTGGCATTCTGACATCTACATACCCCTCCTCAGAATAATGTTTTGAACACACAAAATAAAATAAATACACAGAATTGCAAAGGAATTGAGTTACATTGAAATACAATGGTCAAACTATTTTTAAATAATCAGACTTATAAAATGGTAGCATATGTTTTTCTCATTAACAAAATAACAAAAACCCAGCAGGGAGTCTAATCACTATCACCTAAAAGTAGTAAAGAGCATAAATGACATTTGAGGTATCTGCAACCTCAAAGTGGCACGAAAACATCTGGATTTCTGTTGGTGACAAAGTTACAGGTGCTACTGATATGACTGGTTTTTGCCTATGTTCAAACGTGAACTTCAGTTACAGGTGAGTGAAAACAATGATGCCACGTGTAACCCATTCAAGTTCACAGACCCCCGGCTGAGAATCTCTGCTCCCCAGAAGCTGTGCAGCCCAGAGGAAGAGGAATGCGGCCCCTCCCTCTCCCAGGGCCTGTTGATGTTCACATATTCAGGAGTCCTGGTGTGTGAAGGGTTCACCTTCCTGCCTAATGTCCTTTCTTTCCTACTCCAGAATTCCTCAAATCTGCGTATTTTCTGGAAGGCTCCAAATAAGAGTGTTTCAGTTCTCACGCTGGTTCCCATCTCAGCTTAGTCTTATACATCTCTCTCTGGACAGTTTAATTCCTTCTAAAAACAACCCCCAGAGAGCTGTGGGGAGTTTCTAATCGCTCATATCAGACTTCTTGTATGACTTCAGAAGGGCAGCCCCCTAAGCCTGTTTCCCCTGGGAGATGGGGGCCTGGCTGAAGGTGTGGTGTTAGAACCCTTGAAATGAATGAGAAACCCAGGGGCAGTGCCCAGTAGGGAAGGCCCCCCTCCCCCAGAGCAAGCAGCTGGGCACATGGGAGGTACTGCCCTTCTCACCTCACTGGGGCAGTTTAGGGAATGGAGAACCTCTCTGGACCTGTTTATTCAGTCATAAAATGGGAGAGGCATCTCTCCCCAGTGGTACATTATGGAGTTCAGGGCTGTCATAAGAAGGCTTGAGGACAGTCCCAAAGCAACTACAGGCCATGCCCAGAGCTCACCCCTGACAAGATGGGACCCAGGAAAACTCACCAAGGGGCACTAGCACACAGCAGCCTTTCCTAAAGATCCCATACACAGAATGACCCCAGTTCCCAGCCTCCTGCCAGCTGCGTCTTTTTTATTGTTGTTTTTGTTTGTTTGTTTGTGTTTTTGAGGCCAAATTTCATTCTCGTTGGGCAGGCTGGAGTGCGCTGGTGCTATCTCAGCTCACTGCAGCCTCCGCCTCCTGGGTTCAAGCAATTCTCTGCCTCAGCCTCCCGAATAGCTGGGATGACCACCATGCCTGGCTAAGTTTTGTATTTTTAGTAGAGATGGGGTTTCGCCATATTGGCCAGGCTGGTCTCAAACTCCTAACCTCAGGTGATCCACCCACCCTGGCCTCTCAAAGTTCTGGGATTACACAGGTGTGAGCCATCGCACTCAGCCCCTGCTGCATTTTTGAGACAGCCAGGGAGGAGCTGGGTTGGGACTCAGCCAGAGCGTGGACCCAGAACTCCTCACCCCTTCCTTCTCTTTATTGAAGGCATCCCCGATCCTCTGTCAGCCTTAGCATTCCAGTGGGTAAAGCAATGAGGGCCCCTCCAGGTCTGCTGTGACCCAGCAGGGAAGAACTTCTGCTCACAGCCACGTCACCCCTGTGTGTCAGCAGCAGGACAGTGGGAGCCCCTCCAGCTGGCCCAGTTGCAGCAGGTCCCACTGTGCAGAGACCACTTTGCTTCCTGTCTAACCACCATCGCCATGACTGAGGGGCATGGGGGATAAATGTGGGGTTGGTGGGGAGGCAGGTGCAGGGAAGCCAGGCTCCACAGAAGCACATACCCGAGGTGACACACAGCACGTTTCCATGGTTCCCTGGATGTGGCCCCCACCCTGAGAAATGATTGGGGTTGGGTGGGGGGAAGCCAGAAGACAAGAGGGAGAAAGTAAAAAGGGGGATACGTGCAGAGGGAAGAGTGACCAGAGGCGGCTTGAAGGGTTGAATGGAGCAGAAATACCCTTAAAATGCCCTGAGACTGAGATAGATGAAAGGAGTTCAAAAACAAAAACAAAAAACTCAAAATGTACACCAACAGCCCCAATGTTTCCTGTTTTTCTAACAAATCACCAATGATTTCCAAGAAAAGCAAGCCGTGCTGTGCTTGGCCCCAGGCACAGCCGCAGAATTTGCACATCTGGCCTGTGCTTCGAGAGCAGCCCGCGTGGGGCCGGGGCACAGGATGTGGCGGGGCGGCCTACAGGGTCTGCCGTGCAAGGATCCCGAGAGGAGTGTGCCCAGGAGGGAACCACCTGCTGTGGCTGTCCCTGCTGCCTGCAGCCTGTGGATATTAGCCTGTTACCACCTGGCAGCCAGTTCACCCTGCAGCCTCCCTCAATCCTTCCTGCTGCATTAATGCAGGCATCAAGATACAGCCAGTAAGACGGGGGAAAACAGAAAGATGCCCCTCTGTACTCAGAGGACCCTTCAGGAGGATTTACGTGTATGGGCTTTCCTATGACCATCCGAATTCTCTGAGAATTTCCCATTAGATGGGCACGGCAGCTTCAGGGAAGCCCAGCAGGCCGGGTTTTCTTGGAGACAGGGAGCTGATCGCTAAAGTAGAGGCAAGGCCACCCTGCCAGCTCCTCACAATGGGACCTCGTCTCCATCCCATCTCCAGGTTCTCTCCCTTTCATTGCAGAGGGTCTTACAGGGTCCTGGGGTCTTTCAAAAGCCCCTGGAGGGATGGGCAGACCCTAGAGCTGGGGCTGAAATCAGTCTAGTGACCCCAGTACCAGTGCCCCTTCTCATCTCAGCCACCTCCCAGGAAACCACACCTGGCCTCTGCCTGCCCGACCCCATCCAGAAATACACAGCTGCTCCTGGAGAGCCCCTCCCTGCCCCTGCGCTGCAGCCTCTTCTCTCTTCCACCTATAGCTGGAGCCTCCTTGCAGCTCCCGGCTCCATTCCTGCCACCTCACCCATGTCACAACTCCTGATCTGCCGGGGCCCTCCTCAGCCCCACCAGCACCCTGACAGGGACAGGGCCAAGAGACAGTCTACGGGGCGGGTGGGGGGAGGGGTCTCTTGGGTGGGAGGAAGGAAGGCAGAGGGAAGCTCCACAGCCTTCATCTCCTGTCAGCCTGATTCTTATTTGGCTGCTACCCCAGCCGGACAGAGCAGATCACATCATTCACACACACACACACGTATACATGCACGTACACACACGTACACACATACACACACACACACACACACACACACACACACTTTGCTAAAACATTCTAAAGTGAATTGTAGGCTGTGGACATCATGGCATATCACTCCTAAACATCAGACTGTTTTTTTTTTTGGTCAAAAGACATATCTTGCT